TGATTGGCGTGTGCATGTGCGTGCGTGTGCGTGTGCGTGTGCGTGTGCGTGTGCGTGTGCGTGTGCGTGTGCGTGTGCGTGTGGGTGTGGGTGTGGGTGTGGGTGTGGGTGTGGGTGTGGGTGTGGGGGTGTGTGTGTGTGTGTGTGGGTGGGTGTGTGGGTGGGTGTGTGTGTGTGTGTTTGTTTTTGCAGAGGAAGCTGTACCACAGGAGCCTGACGCCCAACGCTGCACGCCCTGTAAACAACATCCTCACACCATGAAACCTCTCCAAAGACTCCTGTAAGATCGCTCACACCATGGCCTGATGAGTGTTAACACCATGGCCTGATGAATGTTAGCAAGCTGCTAAGTACAGCCTTTGTTGAAGCTTGTACTTGCAGTCGACATAGTGGTTCTTGACATGGTAGCTGGATGACAGACATTAACAGCTGGTTAGAAGAAGCTGCGGCACACGCCTTCAGCAGTGGATTTTGTTCCTGTGAACTCCCCGAAGTCTGTATAGGGGTTCCCAACCAAACTTCATCCCCAGCGCGGCCTGGGCATACTCGGCAGGCTTTGGGGTCGCGCCCGGCGCGCTCTTCTCTGCGGCGGTCTTCGCGGGTTCAGACAACACCTCGTTTGGGATCGCGTGGGGCTGGCCCCTGATTGCGGGCTGTCTCTGACTTCGGTGGCCATTGGCCCTGCCTTCTGCTGCCAAGAAGCCTTCAGCTGCAGCCGCCGCTTCTTGCCACTGCCAGCCTCCAACACCTCGAGCTGCAGATCGCCTGCCACGAACTAGCACAAACCACGGCGTGTTCCACTTTGGGGGGAGACCTGAAAGCCGCCAAGATCGCAACTCAGTACATAGGTTGCAATACTATTCGGGAACAACACCCACGCACGGACGCAGCTTTTCCTCAACACGCAGGTGGGGAAGGACTCATGTGCTGGGAGCTCATCAAGCGAGAAAGTCGCATGCACAACCAGAACTGCAACAAAAACTCGCCGCGGTCGGGGTGTGCTGGCCTGCAAGCCGCTGAAGAACCTCCACCTCAGGAAAGAGGCATCAAGCGTACTAGGCTTGCTTCCCCATCGGTGCTGGAGGGCGAAATCCCCATTAATGCAGCACAAAAGGATCAAGTGCTGGAAGGTGTTTAAGCGCCACAGACCCGCAAAACCACCAGAGTAAAGCCTCCACCGCATTTCCAAAGGCGCTCTCACTCCAGGGGCTTCCCTGCCTCCACGTCTGTAGGGGACTTCCACTCTGCTGGCTGGCCCGGACCTGATCTCAGCGCGCCAAGATGTTCTTGGTGGAGTGCGCGCGAGACTGCACAAGCCAAGTGTCCCAGCGAGGCCAGCAAGTCGCGGGCTCTTCGTTCGAAGGCCTCCAGTGCCGTCTCCTCCTCCGGTGCCGGAGCTGCGACATGGGCGCCATCGACACCTCAAGCAGAGCGGGTCTCGTTTGAGACCCCGCATGCCCCATCTCCTCCGCTCCCCACAGTGCCTTTTTGGCCTTCACTGGCAGGGCCAGCAGCGGTAGCCACAGGCTCTGGGAAGTTGGGCACGGGGCCGTCTTTGGACCACACCTTCTGAAGCAGAGTCCGGTCTCGGCTTCAGGATCGGCTTCAGCTCAAAAGTCAAAACGGCCAAGCAGAGGCCAAGTGACCACGAGGCGACGCTCGCTGCCTTCGCCTGCCGAGTTCTGGTCTAGACATCCACTGAACAGGACTGAAACATTGCATATTTCTGCAGTCGCATCGAGGCTGGATTCAGAAGCTGTATACAAATTTCGCAACCTCTAGAGTGGAAACTGCAAACCCCTCCCAACCTCTCCAAAACCACGCACATGACACGCTTGCTCTTTTGTTTTGCAAAGTGGGTGCCCATTGAAAGGGCACCGCCCTGGATGTCACGGGCGATCTGAACAAAGGTCCAGTGCCTCTGGACTCGTGCATTAGGCCCAGCTCCTTGGCCACCTGCAGGTCACGGCCACATCAAGAGAACACGAACTTCGAGATCTTCGAGAAGATCCAACAGCAAAACGAGACTCTACAACGGTACAAGGCCTCTGAACTCCTGCGGCTATTTCTCTACCATCACTTCAGAAACCTCGTGGGCAATAGCCCGCTCATACGGATTCAGCTTGGCCGGCAGCTGAAGTGACTGACCAGTGTCCTTTGAAAAGCAAGAGTATGCTGTTTGAAGCTCTCTGGGATGGGGTTCCCTGTCCCATTGCGTTCAGCGGACAGCATTGGAGTGAACTGTCAAAGTCTGCTGACTGTCGCAGCTACGACATGAGCGGAAAAGACTTGCTTAAGTCAGACCAGCATCCAAAACATGACGGAGGCGCTTCTGGAACTGCTGCCGGAGCTTCTCCTCCTCCTGCACCTTGTCTCGCAATTTCTCCTTTGACTTGTCCTGAGCGACTTGCACGTTGCTTCTCTCTGCCCAGGGCGAACTCACGGAAGATGAGTTTAACTGCAAGTGGACACCGCGCCCCAAGCCGGGTACAGAAAACCATACCCAATCGGCACTTGCTATTCACGTGCATCTATGGCCTTAAAGATGAGAGGACAGAGAGAGACTTCTGCGAAGCTGCTACGATCAAGCATGCCCGCACTCCCTGCAAGCATTCATCATGCATGTACGGTCAAAGGATGGCATGCACCCGGCTGCCGGGGCACAGATGTTCTGGCAAGGGCTTGCCGACGTTCTTCTTGCAAGGCAGCAGCGGTGCTAGGATCTGCTGGGATCCCACCTTGCTCATCCAGCAGTTGCTGGACGAAGGCCACGCGGCCGTGGTCGCAGGCATAGCCGTAAAGCGAACTGAGCACGTCATCGTTACAGATTGTACTAGCATCGCCCACCAGCAAGACGTGCTTCCTTGCCCTGGTGACTGCCACGTTCAAACGGCGATAGTCGGACAAGAAGCCAACGACTCCGTGCGTGTTTGAGCGCACTAGCGAAATTAGGACCGCATCCGCTTCCTGGCCCTGGAATGAATCGACCGTGTTGATGCGGGGTGTTATTCTCAAAGCCTCAACATCCGCATCCGCCGCGAAGTCTGCGCGAAGCTGCTCGACTTGACGGCTGTATGGTGTTATTACCGTGAAGGTCTCAGGTCGCAGCCCCGCTCTCACTAGCATCTTTGCGTAGTGCACAACAAAGCGAGACTCTCCGGGATTGCATCTCGACTGCTGGATGTCAGAACGTGAGGCTTCCCCATCCTCTCGGTACATGCTTAGCCCGGCAGTGTCAACGAACAGCATGGGCGAAGTGACCATTTCCAGGATCTCTGCACTGATGTTCATGGAAGGAACCTCCTGCAGACTCAGGGTCTGGCTGGCCACGGATGGCGCGGCTTCGAGACGCGAGCTATAGAAGGACTGGGACGACCAGCCCATGATCTTCTCGTTGGATCGATATTGGATGGACAGGAGAGAAGCCACATCGTCGCCGAAGCGGTCGATCAGCCGGCCGAAGAGCGTCTCATCCAGACCTCAGAGTTTTTTTCAAACCAGGGCTCTTTTCCAACGGGGCATCCCCTCTAAGGCCCTAGAGGCCTAGGCCCTCCGGCCATCTGATCTCGGATCCAGGCCCTGCTGCTGGGCTTCCGTCGACTTCACACAGGCCGCCAGCTGCTGGTGGTCCCCCGCCAGCACCGCCTCCAAGGGGCTCAAAAAGAGTCTCAAAAGATCTGACATCAAGGCCATGTCAATGTCCGCGGTGACCCAAGCAGAGACACCTTCTTGCCCAGGAGCAGAGGGATCCAGCAGGCCACCTTCCAATTCTGCCGAACTCACGTCAGGCTACAACTTTCCCGGTCTCTGACACCAAGTGCACCTCCAGCGCTTGCGCCGCCTCATCGATAACCACGACATCAAACCTTGCAGCAAGGTGCGGTGGATACAAAGGCTGCGGCTAAGTGACAAGTGCAAGGAGCACCCACGCAAACAGTTAAGGAGAAATACCATGATAGACAGCCACGCACCGAAGTGTTGTCGCACCAAGTTTGAAGTTTGACAACACCAGTTCTGGCCAAATTGCACAGCTTCAGACAACAGTCAACAGAGAACTCAATAGAAAATCAAAGCAGCCGTCTCCACTTCCAAACTGGATCAGACAGGAAACAGGAATGCAGGGAAAACGAAGACCGTTAGGATGCACACGCGACGTGAACTGAAACAAAAAGAAACAATCGTGATTGTAGAAGCATCATCGTCACAACACTGACTGAAACGCAGTCCCAATAATTCAATATGTCACACTAGAATGGGCCGACTGTGACTGAATCTCTTTCGAAAGTCACCCACAAATGATCGATGGGAGCTAATTAAAGCCCAGGAGCTCTAAAGATGCAGCTGACCCAAGCCCACGCCTTAGTTCAGGAGAAGCAGTTCCCCCTCGCCTTGCTTGCGGTGAGGACCTCGTTCCATGTTCAGTCTTAGTCTGTGTCCGTATTATGACATCCGTGGTTCCAGCAGCTCCTGACAGAACAGGACACGACGCCATCGGCTCAGAATCATGAGTGCTGGTACAATGCAGAAGCAAGTCGGTAAGTCAACTCGGCGGGTTCGGGTTCTCATTCAGAGGCATCATCAAACTGCACACTCCACTCTCGGATGGATTAGTTTCCTGTTCTAAGTTCTAAGTCTTGCGATTTCGGGTCCCGACTTTCCACTCCTCTTAGTCTTAATCCTACTGACAGCGGCATCGCATCAGCCCTGAGCTAAGCTTAGCCAAGGCTTGTCAAAGTCTTTGTGCAGTGATCTGCGCAGGCCTAAAATACCGCTCCGGAGGTTCCTGCAATGCTAGCCGCAATGGCAAACCTGCGTCCAGGGACCTGATCTCTCGGTGAAGGACTGCTGCGCCGGTGCACGTGGCGAAAACGACCTCGACATGGGCTCAAGATTTCAGGTGCTCCTGCTTTACGTCGGTCTCGTCGAGAATGAAAGGCTCTACGATGTTGAAACGCTGCGAATTCAGAGGCACCTCAATGAAACAACGACGCATTACCCAAAAAACCAAGCTGGCTGATGAGCCCTAACACTTTAAACGGGATTTCTGTTGGTGCTGGGGGAAAACAAAGACGAACCCCAACTGATCCTTAAAAACACTCCCCAAAACCCCATTGCCAAACCTCAGCCCTTTAAAGCCCCTGTGCGCCAAGTGCCTGTGTGGTGCGCAGGACCTCCGCCACTGCGCGGCGCTCGCGCTGGCGAAGCTCTGTTCGCAGCTCCTATTCTCCAACATACAGTCAGCTTCGATGAGCCACTTGCAAGGGCAACAAGGCGCAGAGCTTGCAAGCAGATTTGGCACTTGAGATTCCCAGTTCTCGGTCAAGCTGCCTGAACAGCACTTTGAACAAAAAGCCAACAGTCAAATGACCTACAAGAGGCTGCTGAGGTGACCTGTGAAAGATTGCGAAAGATTGCCACAGCTCCTTGAGGTTGCCAAAGGGCTTGCTTGGTGTCTGTGGCTTCTTGCTCCTTACCTTGCCCAAGATCTGGTCGATCTCCTCAAAGGGTACCGAAGCACAGACGAAGACTGGAAGCAAACTGGAAGCAAACTTCCATCATCTTTCATCAAGCACTCATCCATCCGGTCCCCAAAACCCGGCCCCTCCTTTTTGATGTCGCGGCACAGTTCGGCCTGGTCGGAAGCGTACACAACATTGTCCATGGTGAACTGCTGAATATTCTCCTGGAGTTACGAACAAGTTTTCTGGAGAAAAGCATTGAAAAGCAATGCCCGTGGAGGCTCTCTGCCCAGTTGCCCTAAAATCCCTAGGATTAGAATGCCGTCCTGAACCCTTGCTGGATGCCCCAAGCGCACCAAGGATCGGCAGCCCGCGTCGGCAAGACGCTCCAGCAGATTGTCGACCGCGACATTTGAGGGGGCAGTCACCAGCAACCGCTGCTTGCGGTAGACGGCTTCCAGAATGTAAGACACGAGGGTCGTGGTCTTGCCTGTCCCAGGTGGGCCATGAATCACAGCCACATCAGCGGCACGCAGAGCCTTGATTACAGCTGTTTGTTGCGGTTCGTTCAAATTGCCGGTGGCACTGGCCAGAAATGTGCAATCGATTGCGTCGGTGCGCGCACAATTGTCCTCCGACTTTGCCTCGTAGAAGCGGGGCTTCGCATCGCCGAAGCAGACACCCACCAGGGCAGAGGCCGGACTGCTGCGCGCTCTTCCACCCTTCAGCATGTCTAAGGCCTCTTTGTAGCGCTTGAGGGTCACGTCCGAGGAGACCAGCGCGAGATTCAAGAGTCGTCCGTCCAAAACGTCAACAGGAATGTCTCCATCAAAGGCCAGCTGTATGGTTTCCGGCCGTATACGGGTGGCCACAGCTGATGCCAAAGGCACGGCTTTGGAAAGCGGCCGACTTCCCTGATCGAAGATCCCAACAATGTCCCCGTGGCTAATCTTGTGCGAATTCAAGTCCCCTGCAGCCCGCTCCAGCGTCAGACATGCACGTCCGTACAGAGCCGTAGATTGCTCGGTCACACGCAGCTTGAGAATTGCCAGCCCTCTGGACTGCAGCTCTGCTTGAGAACAAGACAACAGCAATTCCTCAGTGGAAGATATCAGGCATTCTCTGCAAATACATGCAGGCACTGTATGTACAAGAGCACCTCCTATCCTCAAACCGAAGACAATCACTTCTCAGGGATCTGGTACATTGGCACCACAAAACGGCTGCTGAAATATGAGACAGGGAGCTGTTGTCTCCTCCTCTTCTGCAGCTTTTTCAAGGGCCAACACTCCCTCACACCATGCGGCAAATGCCTCGGGATCTTCCCGTGGCGGTCGCTTCAGCTTTCCGGACATCGCAGCCATAACAGCCGGCACACATCTGAGCAGAGCTTTGTGGACGAACGACTTTTGCGGCTCATAGCATTCTACATCTGTGAAGATTTGTTCGTAAGAGTTCCAGGTGAATCCTAGATACGTGAAGATTGACAACCGTTCAAGCGAAACAGCATTGCTTGGCATGGCTTCACCATCTACTGCCTTTGTAAGAAGATCCTTGGCGCGATCTGCAGCATTGACAAGTGCTGGCCCTCGTCAGCTATACAGTCACTAGGTGGCGCCCCTTTTTAGTGCTGTGAGTCTTGTGTCCAGCTGTCAGAAGCCACTCGGCGACTTTACACATCACCCTGACTATCCCTCTTTCAAGGACAGGAGGTGACAGAGACTGTTGAAAGTCTTGTTGAAACTAGATGGAGGTCATTAACTGGCACTTTGGCCAAACCAGAAAGCACAGGCAGTGTTGCTGCATGTCATGTGTATGCTCCGTCGAATTCCCCTCCTACTGCAAGAGACTAAAATCTTCACCTTGCTGCATGTATTCGTCAGCACATGTACAGCATAGCTTCAAACGGTCAGGTTGCAGAGTCATCACATGAATGAGTTCGGCAATCTGGCCCTCATGCCGGGGAAGCAGGAACCCTGGAAGAGGCGCCTGCCCACTGTTCTAGATTAGCAGACCCTGCGACGAACGCCGAACTTGTCGACTGGCACACAAGACCTGACAAAATGCTGGCTCAACCCTGGCATGTCTATTCAACAAACTCACTCCTAGCGCGCCAAAACTGACGGCCTGCGGCTTAGATGTCCACTTCACCGGCCGCTTTGTGCAACTGCCATTCAGCTTGAAGGGCAGAGGCAAGAAACACACTCCGTGCATGCACAAGGGCAGCGAAAAACCGATAAGTAAAGCTGTTTGCAGCACCCTCACAAAAGCCGTGATCTTTCAAGTTGCTTCGTGTATCAAAAACCGCCAGATCTTGCACTGATTCGCAGACAAGTAACACGTGAAAGACAAGCTGAGCAAAAGTCAGCGAACCAAACTCGGTGCCTGAGCCTTCTTGTAGACCTGTTTCGGAACCGGCACTTCGCTGACTTGCTCCATCATCTGGCACAGCCTCAGTACGAAGGAAAGTCAGGAACACCCCGCGACACTCAACAAAGCGCCCCCAGTGCATGTGCGCCGAAGCTTCAGCTGA